ATTCCATTTTGGCTTTACCGTATCATTCATAACCCGGTAAAACCGAAATTGGATGATCTCATGCTACTGACCTCACATGAGCTTTAAAGATTTAAGCTTGATCCGAGCTTTTGCTCGGGATGGGTTTTGTCAACAACACGACTACATATATTTCGTGACAGCTCGCGCAACTCATCACCGGGAGCCCTTTGCAGTACTCAATCACCGCAGCCTGTATCTGGGGCTCGGTAGCGGGGGATCGTTCTGGCTGTGAGGTGGCTATTTCAACGCTTGCATGCGGCTGATTTTGCCAATCACCGTTATCACTTATTAATCTTCCGTCTCTTCTTTAAAGATTTGCCGCACACCAACCCGATTGGGATACGATTCACTCGCGATAGGGGTCGGTGGCATATTCGCCGGTAGCGGTTCCGCTTGGGTGCGGGCGCTGGTCATCGCCATTGGCGGGCAATCGAGTGGCCGCATCCGGGCAGACCACCGCGGAGCACTTCCAGAACAAAGGCGTCGTTCTTCGGGAATGGGCGTCTCGTTCTGTGGCGTCGTGCGGTTGGGCTCCTGTTATCACTTATTAATCTTCCGTCTCTTCTTTAAAGATTTGCCGCACACCAACCCGATTGGGATACGATTCATTCGCGATAGGGGTCGGTGGCATAACGTCATTGGCTGAGTCGCCTCGGGTGCGGCCCCGCTGATCGCACGGTGGAGTGGCCGCATTTCAGACCACCGCGGAGCACTTCCAGAACTAGGGCGTCGTTCTCCGGGAATGGGCGCCTCGTTCTGTGACGTGGTGCGGTCTGAGCTCCGAGGTCGGGGCGAATTTTTATGCCCAGCGAGGGTTCTTTAACTCTTGCGGGCCCTTTTGGATGCGCCGCCTGGCGGTACAGTCGCCGTGGGCTCGCTCCATGCCTGGAGCGAGGAATGGCGTGTAAAATTTTGCAGTGCCGTCATAGGACGGTTGGGCCCGCGGCCAGTTTTTGGCTGGAGGGTTTGCCGCAATGCGGTGTGAATTTTGTTTCCGATCGATTGGGTAGTCGATATCGATCGGTCAGGTCGATGGGTTTGATCGATCGATCGGCCAGGGAAAGCCGCGATGGGACGAAAATGGAGAAAAATCGGTCTCAGGCGAGAAATTAGCGGAAAATGGGCAAAAAATTGCAATTTGGCAAAAATTTATGCATGCCCGCGTCGGAACCCGGATCCCGTGAGTTCCAATGGCCCTACATCGCTCTGAGCCATTTGACTCCACATCACATTGGGTTTGAAGGGGAGTGATAAACCTGGCGCACTGATCCCCGCACACTGACAGCGTAGATCTTCAAACCCACCAATTCCCTGACCAAATGCCCACCTATCAGCCGGCCAACACACAAGATCGGTGAGATCCGATCGATAGGGTTTCCCTCGTCCGGCCCCCGAGCAAAAGGACCAATAACTCCATCTCCGTACCCTACCCACTCCTCGGCAGTCTCCATCGACCGACCCACCAACCAGTCAGTGAATCAACCGCCCACGCCGCTCGTAACCCGCCGCCCACTTCACGTCTCCCTGTTCCGTACCTGAGGCTGGTCTACCATAGTCGCAACATATCGTCTGCGAGAATGCCACTTTAATCCCATTCAAAGTTTGGAGCCACGTCGGGAGGCGGTCGTTTGGCGCGATGGGCGGGGGCGCGCCGCCTCAAATGGGCGGCACGACCCCGGCCATCGCGCCAAACGACGTACACCCGCCACTTCAGTTCCTTAGCAGCATGACAGAGCTAACAGCCTTGCTCTTTCAGGGATCATGCATCCACTGTGGAAAATGGTGACGTCCGGGCGGCAGCGGGTCACGCCTCGGTAGGTTGTGGCCAAAAAGTACGAGCCGTCCAGGATGCCCAGGGATATTGGTGGAGAGGGTGGGTAGATGAGGGAAGGTACTTCGCGTGCGCTCGATGTGAGGCACCGCATAAAACCTAAGATTATCACTACAATCAGAAATATCGCTAATTCAAAAAAAAACACATACAATATAAATATATTAGTAGAAACAAGAAATACAAACTACTAACGGACACGTGATTCGTAAACTAGCAAGGCTGTTCCCTCTAACATCATGCTGCTACGGATCTGCCGCTGGCTTCAAATTCTGGAGGGAGTGAATGTGGCACTCTCGCAGACGATATGTTGTGCCTATGGTAGAACAGTGCCAGATACGGAGCAGCGAGTCTAGATGTGGGCGTGCGGCCCCTACGGTTGCGATCCATTGACTGATTGGTCCGTCGGTCGATGGAAGCCACCGAGGAGTGGGTAGGGTATGGCGTTGGAGTTGCTAGTCCTTTGCTTGAAGGAGGGATGAGGGAAGCCCTATCGGTCGAGTCTCACCGATCAATGTGCGGTGGCGGCTGATAGGTGAGCATTTGGT